CTGTCTAAACGTGCGTGGCTTAGACCCTGAAAGTGCGTAAACTAAACACTGCAATTAGACATACATAAACCAACATCTTCCAGGCCATTTTCTGCACTCATCTCATTTAAGAACACTGCGCTTTTATCAAATGACTGGGCCGGCTTGGCACGGTCCTCCTTTTTACAAACACAGTTAAAATCACCAAAAAGGACTACATATTTGTCACATTCCATTAAGTTACTTATTTCTTCAAAGAAAACTTTCCTTTCACTGTCTCGGTTCGGAGCATAAACGCATATGACATGCCATCCGAAATTCAAGAAAGAAAAATCACACACTACGAAGCGTCCTTTATCGCTGCTTGCTACACTTCTTTCCACAACGCCTATCGATCGTCGTATGAAGAGCACACACCCTCCTGATAAGCCATCAGCATGGGATACACAGATGTTATACATTGAGCGAAAAGGCAACGTCATATGATTGGTATCTTTCTCTGCCGCTATCTTAGTTTCCTGCACAGCAATCACATCCAAGTCATGCTCCGAAAACAGCCTACTCAACTGGTACTGCCGCCTTCTTGAAGATAATCCGCGTACATTTAAGCTGGCAAAACGCACTGCTCTTTTAAGCTTCAGGCTCATTTTTTTTAAACAAGTAGCTGCTCACCATACCGTCTTAGCCGAACTCCGCCTATTTAGTCGTCCGGTGCACCTTCTTGGTAGAAGGCGACACATAATGTGTTGTCAAGAGGCCGGTTTTCCGGTCCTCTTTTCCCCTTCTGTTATATTATGTTTGACCGCCAGTCGTTGCCTCCGAAGGAGAGCTGCTTTCGGTGGCGGTTCTTGATTGCTCATGTCACTTGATTCTGTTGAGGTTGTGTCTCGTGGTCGTTTCCCTCCCGTACCTGGTTCCTCGGCGTCGTGCCACTCCATGGCACCACCCTCGGCAGGTTCCTGGACAGTTTGAGTAGATGTTTCACTCTCGTCTGTAGCAGCGGTTGCGTCGTTTAAAACATCAGTTTCCTTTGCGCTCGTCAGTGATTCTGCGGCCGCTTGCATACACGCAGGTTCACTTGTTTGTCCTGCTTCTTTCACATCCATCACGCCTCCTGTACTGAATGTTTTTTTCCGCAGAAGTCACCTGTGATTTCGCCAATGCATCCGCGATAGGTTGCACTCCCCCACTGTCAGTTGACCTTGGCGGTTCTTTCTGCAATCGCGTCATGCCTGCTGCAATAGGTGTTTTTCCTTCACAAGCCGCTTTCGATTTCACCGATTCTTCTGCTTCGGTCTCGTCCATAGTGAGCTCGGATTTATCCATGCTCCCGGTGTCCAGTGCAGCAGCTGCATACGTCTTCGTGCAGTTCCCAGGGGCGTGTCCAAAACGCTTGCAAGTGTCACACCGCGGGACTCGACAGTCCCTCCTAATGTGGCCAATCTGCTGGCAGCGCAAACACCGCGGCGCTCTTCCGGTTGCCACAATGAGTGCGAGCTCTCCTCCAACTTGTAACTGATGATGTATATCGTCCAGCGTAACGTTAGCCTTTAGCCGTAGCGTCACGGTTCTCGTCATGGTATTCTGCTGGGTGTAGCCGTCAATTCGCCACTTATCCATTCCTACGTCAAGCACCGTCCCCTAGGGGGTCAGTGCATTTCGTACGTCCTCTTCTCGTACGTGGTAGAGCAACCAATGCAGCTTCAGACGGACGTCGCGGTGGCTTGGGTCGATTATCATGCATTTGAGGCCTTTCACAGTCAATTGCGGATCAGCTAAAAGTTTCTTTACACCTTCAGTGCTTCGGCACGTCACTGCCCACACGTGGTTCATTTGATAAGCGCCGAGCGCAACAAAAACCTCGGTAGGCTGAACACGTCGAAAAAGTGGCCCGCGAAAGTCTTCCGCGTGATAAGGTCTTCCTTTTACATCCGCATGCAGAAAAACAGTGTTCTGAACCACATACCCATTGGGCAGAGCGGGCAAAAAAAGAGCATAATCCTGGGGCATTTCAATCCTGGAACCGCGGCTAAACTGAGCCGCCGATGCCGCTCCAACGGAGCTCATGATACACACGTCCGCACGCTTTCGCAACCGGAAGTGGAATCCTGAGATACCACAGCGACCTTCCCTCCATCCACTTTTTTGGGTTCATATGTGAATTTAGAAGTAGGAGTGACAGTCAGCGCCATCTATAAGCCAAGCGACGAGTGTGAAAACACTCTTTTATGGCGTCACGTAGCACGTGAACTTATTATGAGCGGGCAGCTGATTAATAGTCCCTCATATACAACCTAATGACACCAAGTCTGCCAGTACGAGACCCTCGTTTAATGAAATAAAAGAAAGAAGTGTATACCTAAGCTCGTTTTTCCGTGTTTTAACACAATAATAATGAGATCTAACACAGTAATGCCAAGGAATATGTATATATATATATATATATATATATATATATATATATATATATATATATATATATATATATATTGTGAAGAAGAAAACGCATCGTTGGTAAGCAACTTCGCCACCGCTTGGGTACTGGGTCCTGGGCTTCGCTCGCTCGCCTCGTGATGATCGTCGCCGGCATCTGCTTGACCGTTGCACTGTCCCGATCGTGTTTTCGTCGTAGGGCCACCGTCGCAATACACGCCAATAAACCCCTTTTCAATTGGTGGAGGGTGCTGACATTCCCCGTCGCTTGAACCTGGGTGCTGCCATTCGCCGTCGCCTAAACCTGGAGCTGCACAACCGAACGCTACCTCCCATCATGGCCACCAACAATGCGCAACCTGGCTCTTCCAATCCATCCTCCAGCAACCCCGGTGATCTTCGCTTGCGAGAGCCGAAGGTCTTTAGCTGATGAGACCGACGTGGAAGAATGGTTCACCAACTACGAACTGGTGAGCGCAAACAACAAATGGGATGAAGCGGACAAGTTGGCTAACGTCATCTTTTACCTCGCTGACGTGGCCGAAATGTGGTACAACAACCACAAAAACGACATTACGACGTGGTCCATCTTCAAAACGTTGTTTGCTGACGTTTTCGGCTGACCCGCTGTCCGCAAGTCCAGAGCCAAACAGTGGAACAGCGTTGTATTGCCATGGCAAAAGATAGACATTCTTCTATGCTGTCGTTTGTGCAGCGTAGCAGCTTTCGGTTATGCAGACGTTGGTCCTAAAAAACATAAAATCTCATGATCAATGCCGTAGGGCTTTCCGTTTTGCAGCCACTTATGACGAGTTCACTGCTGGACAAATCGCGTTTCAATTTCAGTTGTTTGGGTTGTATTTGATGGAATTCTTTCCGTAGTGCCCATGGCATTATCCGTCAACTCTGACGGGTTCGTCATCTTGTCATATATTTAATTTCTTACTCTGGAACTCGAAAATATTCACTGACGCCTTCAGTTGCTGTATACGTAACCCGAGATGGAGTCCGTCTCTAATACCCCTACGCATCTGCTTAAACAAATTATGCTTTTTTTCGCTAAACTTGTCAAATAGCCCTTTCACCGTAACTGTGTGGGAATGGCTGAATTGAGTCCTTATATTTTCTCAACCGTAGCAAGAAGCCGTGCAAAAGCACCAATGCTGCTAGGTGTATCGGCCAAGCAAACGGTTAAATAAACGTATGCATGTTAGTAAGGTTTCTCCCCACCTTTCGCTTTTGATGAACGGGGACCATTGCCACGCCTTGCGTCTGCTCTCGCCTTTAGCTTTGTATATCGACTCCCACCAGCCAGAACAACTAACAACATCGTAGTGCGAAGGAAGGAAAATGTTTCGAGGACGTCTTTTTCTATACTATGCACAACAAATAAACCCGATAGAGAATTAGGCCAGGGAAACTATTGGGGACACTGTATCGTGGTGTGTTACGTGTAGTGCAATGCCTTTCACTTTAATAGAAATGAAATGAAGAGGAACTTGAGCAATACTTAGAATCAATGGGATCCGAACACACATTAATCGAATTACGCATCCGATGCTCTGCCATTTCAACTGGCACTGAGTGTGCTCCTTTGTGCACTTTTATGTGGGGAATACATGTGTCTTTACTACCTATGTATCTCAGCCAGCACCTCTGGCAGACCAAACTTCATTAGAGAACATTTAGATGCAATTAGAAGGGTGCTGTTAGGGCATCCCACTAACGGGAACAAGATTTTATATTCCTTTTAATCCTTTTCAAGTCGAGTGAAAATTATTTAACAACAATTAGGGGCCAGAAACAATGACTTCTATGATTTCCATTGCCCAATTGTCTGTCGGTTCCATGAGTGTGCATAACAGAGAAAGTGAAACCCACAGATCATTCCCAGTTTTGTAGTTTTATAGCAAGGTCTTCGTTCCAGGAGATTCGAGGTCGTAGGTTGCATGCGAGGGTTCATCGGTACGCCACCACCTCCAGCGAAGACCAAGCGCCTCGCGATGCCTCTCTGGCAAAAATGATTCTCTACACTCACCGTCAGGGCAACGAGTGGCGCTAGGTAACAGTCCCAGATATTAGGCACACATAAATACTCTACAAACGGGGGACAGGGAAGCTCGCTTTGTCGTAGCTCAAGTGGTAGAGCATAGGGCACGTAATTCTAACTTCTTGGGCTCGAATTCCTTCAACGGATAAAATCTATTGTTCATACCCTTTAGTTCCTTCTAATATAAGTGCGAATCAGTCAACTACAAAAGAAGTAATAAACCCTGAATTATTTAAAGTTTTTGCCAATTTGGTTAATTGCGTATAACACCAATATTACAGAGAACTCAAATTAGTATTATTTCAGAATGGGTCCGTTACCATGGCCGAGTTAATGAATGGAATGACAGATGTTTACCATAATGCGTGGTCCAGAAATGAACTTCACATCACAAGCACTTCAATCCTACTCGGTTTGGTGGCGATGGGCTCGGCGAAAATCACGTTTATCCCACAGCACTGAGCAGCGCACTGAGGCACGGTGACTACAGCGGAAGCCGTGAAGCATCGCTATTAAGAAAATGCAAAAACTTACCAACCTGGTAGGCATAAATAGGTGGATTAGGCGAATGTGCTTTCCCCACCACCGCTCCTGCTCACCTGTCTGAGTAAAATATCGGCGTCGAACCACAACTCTTCTGCGCTGTCAGTGAACCAAGATGTGGTTCCTCAGTCACAGCCCCAGGTTCAAGGTATAGTCTGATGCGCGAAGAAAAGTAGAATGTTGAGAGAGAGCATCGCGTAGTAAAATAGGACCAAGTGCATCAATGTAAGCAACGCTGAGGCCACGAAGCACCACCGACCCAGACGCACGACGCGAACCTGGGTAAGCAAAGAAGGAATGTATTAGGGGAACGTTCATTCACCACCACCCCTTTCACCAGTGTGCCGAGGTGTGATATCGGCGCCGGAACCACGACAACACCTCCGCGGGTTGAGTTATGTGAGGATGTGTTTCCACAGTTATGGCAGTAGTTTTCAGATAGTCTCGGTACGAAAAAAAAAAAAAAACAGAATATACGAACGTCCCTTTTCTACCGCCGCTGCCACCAGTTGGATTTATTGCTTCAGAGGAACCCCACAATGGTCACCTTCATCAACTGCTATAGAAAAAGCTGCACATTTTATTTGGTGACTCATGAGACCCAAGTGAATATATTCACAGAAGGTTGTATAGTGGAACTAATGGTACGTATCTGTGTGTATCGCTGGTCTTGATTGTATCGATAGTATAGTGTATATATAGCTTGCAACTTTCCTCATTTCCACACTGGGCTTGGTCAGTAGAGCACTTTTTTTTTGTGGAAGTGATGAAAGACAGGCGGCTATCCTTTTTTTTGCAGGCAGTATGAAGTGTTGTCGCTATATATGCACTACGCTCACATAAAAACTGTTGGGCAGATTGGCGACTGCAAAGATTTTATACATTTGCTACAAGGGCAGAAATCTTGTGTAATATGAAGGTTATTTTTGTTGTCTGCGCGGTAGTCATAGGTACCCTGTCATATTTCTTCAAGTATTTTTCGTCATTCCGAAGGATACGCTCAAGTATAGACCTCACATTTTCATTGTCATAAAACTATGCCTCCTCAGAAATTGTATGCAAAAAAAGCAGTAATTTTTGATAATAAATGCTGTATGTATATTTTCAGAGTATAACGATCCAGGTGAAATACCAAATGAGTTGCAGTACGCGAGGCTGCCATCTTGCAAACGAAAGTATCAATGTCAGAAGCTACAACATTATCCAGGAGCACCTTTAACGTTCCTTTTATCTAAGCACCAATATATGGCTTTTGTGCCTTCAGGCCATATAGGTAGCAGTGGGTGCAGCATCGAGCTTTGTGTATCAAATATGATGCCTTGGGAGTGGTGCTGTAACTACGCAATCGTATACCTAATTGTGTAACTGGGTAGCCAAGCAAAATATATCGTATTTGTTCTATATAGTGCCTTAAAACAGCAGACTCCTGTTAAATTGTTTTGAAAAGCAATTATACATACCTAATAGTTATGATGTGTAGAACATAGTTACACAATTATTCAAAATGATTAGTTATTTTCACTCAAACTAATTATGTTACGCTTAAAATAAAAACTGAAATTTTTCTTGAAATTAACTTACAAAAATTGCCACCATCGTGACTTTTCTCACAATTTTTCTTGAGGCAAGACTGTTTTTGGGCATGGCAAGTTATTGTCGATTGAGAATACACTTAGGGTATCCGCGTGTTGGTAACTGAAATGTTTAGCAACCTGCTAAGAGCTCTCAACGACAGAAGGATCATCGTATGACGATATTCTTAAATATTTGTGCGAAAATGTGGTGACAAATAAGAACATGTGTTTTTCCTGACTATAACACGAAAAGGGCGTTCAGGATTGTGTGTTTAGGCTGCAAAATTTAAACAGCCATTTCTGATTCTTTCTACGTTTCGGTTAGCTAATTTAGGTTAAAATCTTAGAGAGGTTTTTGGCGGCGCTCTGAAATTTAAATGATACATCTTAGCTCACCCAGATGCCTCATGAAACAGCTGCCGTTGCCTTTACGCTGTACATGTGTGCGCAAGACCACTCATCCACCCAATTTATCCATGGAAATGAACGCCAAATAAAGTACTCTGAAGCAATCAACAAAGTTGTCAAGGTGGAATCGTCTTCTTTGCTAACAACAGCTCATAGATATATTTTGAGCGTTATTCATACGCGCCATCTTATTTTTTATTTATTTATTTATTTAAAATACCTTACAGGCCCATGTTGCAGGGCATTGTGTAAGGGGGGTTACAAAGGGTGAGTGTCGCGACAAAACCGTAAGGAAACATCAAACTTTGAAAGAACTCAACAAAAAACAACGTGTTATATGTCACTAAAGAAAAAATGTACAAAAAGTCATTTGAAGTTACACATTGGAACATTGCTGGTGGGAGGAGAACAAATATCCGCAACACAATTACTAAAAAAACACCTAGCACACACGTAGCCTAAAAATATTTTAGAGCAGCGCGCAGAAAGCAATTTGTTCTTGTTTAAGAAATACAGGATAATAAAGGGCGATAAGAGAGTTTTTCTCGTGTGTATAAGAACATTATACAGTAGGAAAATGCAGGCGGTCACAAAGTGTGAAAAAAAAAGCGTACTCTTTACTGAACGAACACAAGGCCCTAAGCTGTAAGCGGGAGGAAATGGAAAAAAAAAACGAATGAATATAATTACACTGGAACGATACAGGAGGTGCAACGAATACTTGTAAAAAGGAACCAATCGAAGTGTCTATGACTGAAAGAAAGAGTGCAGAAGTTGTCTGAATTTTTCGGGGTCTGATTGATATACAATGTCATTTGAGAGATCATTCCACAAGCGGATGACGCGAGGAAGAGCCGATGAGTTAAAGGCGTCCGTTGACCCATATAATCGCGGGAAACTTAAGTTATTATGCAGCCTACGAGATGTAACGCAAGGTTTATCGAGTTGGAATGGGAATGGTTTGTTACTGTAAACATACTTATGGAAGAGGCATAGGAGAGAAATATCTCGCCGAGTACTCAACAGTTGAAGAGAAAGGCAAAGTTTAATTTCCGTTATGCTGCTATTGTAGTCGTAATTTCGGAAGATGGACCGGGCTGCTCTATTTTGAATAGCTTCAAGCATGTTGATTAAGTAATTTTGGTATGGGGACCAGATCGATGCGGCGAATTCAAGTTGTGGTCGAACGAAGGTCTGATAAGCTAGCTGCCGAACATGGGATGGGCAGCTATGCAAGTTGCGGCGTACATAACCCAATGATTTTGAAGCTTTCGCACAAATGGTGTGACCAAGAAAGATTTGGTGTGAAATGAATACCGAGGTACTTGTAGGATGATGCGTACGACAGAGGGTAGTCATCAATTATGTACGAATGGCTAGAAATATGTTGCTTGCGTCTAAAACACATAATTTTGCACTTCTGCTTGTTTAGCGACATAAGCCATTTTTTGCACCGGTCATTAATCTTGTTGAGGTCATTTTGCAGTGTTAGGTGATCATCGGTACAGGTTATTGAGCGATATATAATGCAATCATCGGCGAAAATTCGCATGCGAGATGAGGTGCTGATTGGCAAATCGTTAATATAAATTAAGAACAGCAGGAGGCCAAGGACGCACCCCTGCGGTACACCTGAGGTTACGTGGGAAAGAGGGAATTGGATATTGTTTATTACCGTGAACTGCTGGCGAAGTGAAAGAAAGTCGTATCATATGTACATACTCATTATCATCAGTATGACCTGTGTTGTGGGGCAGAGGCTTCCTGCAGCGCTTTTTCGTTATCTTCGGTATTTCAAATCAAAATTAAGTTACAAAAAAAATTTGTAGGAATGACGCAATGCTGAAAGTTTAGGGCAAATTCACATTATAATCGGCCCATCCCCTTCTTTGGGTACGAGCCATTTGCACAGGGAAACAACAACAACAACAACAACAACAACAACAACAACAACAACAACAACAACAACAACAACAACAACAACAACAACAACAACAACAACAACAACAACAACAACAACAACAACAACAACAACAACAACAACAACAACAACAACAACAACAACAACAACAACAACAACAACAACAACAACAACAACAACAACAACAACAACAACAACAACAACAACAACAACAACAACAACAACAACAACAACAACAACAACAACAACAACAACAACAACAACAACAACAACAACAACAACGACGACGACGACGACGACGACGACGACGACGACGACTACAAACCATTCCTGGAGCTCCAGTCGATTCACCGTCTGCGCAGTCAGCCCACGGTCATGTCGCAAGACGAGCACAGCAACACAGCTCCATTCACCCCGCCTACACCCTTTGGCATGCCTTCATGGACTGTCACCGCCCCTCAAAAAGATCCCCCGATGTTCGCCGGCCTTCGCAGTGAAGACGTTGAAGACTGGTTGGATGAGCACGGCCGTGTGAGTGCGCTTAACTATTGGCATAATTCTGTGAAGCTGTCCCGCGTACCGTTCTATCTGACGGGGGTCGCTAAGACATGGTTTCTCCACCATCAACTGGATTTCCCTGACTTGCCTACCTTTAGGCAGCTGCTCCGTCAGATATTTGCCAACCGTTCTGTCCGCGCAGACATAGACAAACGGAAGCTTGCTGAACGTGTTCAGCACTCCAGCGAGTCTTATACCTCGTACATTGAAGATATCCTCGCCCTCTGCCGTCGCGTCGACAGCTCAATGATGAAGCATGACCGAGTTCGCCACCTGCTCAAGGGCATAGGCACCGTCGCACTCAACGCTTTAGCGGCCAAGAACCCCACCGCGGTCGCGGATATCATCAGTACGTGTCAGCGACTTGATGACCTTCAATTTATACGTTGACAACCTGACTCAGCAGATCTCAGTCCGATGCATGACATGAGCTCCGTGCGTCGATACGGTCAATGATCTGCGAGGAGCTGCAACTCCAGGCCACCTCGTCGTCTTACGAGCCCCACATGACGCCTTCTGCAGGTAGCCTCCGAAACATCGTGAGGGAAGAACAAGTGTTCATGACGTGTGGGCAAGTCCATGCCACTCCAAAGCCGTGGTGTGCTCAAGTGGTTGCCGCGTCACCTTCCCAGCAATCACTGCAGTCCGGGTCAACTACGCAGCTTTCACTGAATGTCCTCGCCCCAAGGGCAACGCCTCCTTGTTTCCATGCCTGGCGTCCATCTAGACCTATTTGCTATTATTGCGGAATACGCGGCCACATCTCATGGTTCTGTCGTTGGCGTCAACAAGACGAAAGGCGCGGATATGGTGACTTCGAGAGGGATGAGTTTGCCGCTGCTCCACAACATCGTCACCCATACCAACTGTACCAATG